TATATATATATATATATAAAGTTACCACTTTTTTTAATTTGCCACAGTCTTATGATAGAATGAGAAATAACACGCGTTGATATTAAGTTTATGATGAAGTCAACAAAGATTAATTCAATTGGTAAAGAACAAATTCATATATATTTTCAAAGGATGTAGTTTAATTCTGGCTGATATAAAATTTTTGTTAATAAATAATATGTAAGTGCTTTTATAAAAGTTAATAAAGTCTTTAGACCTATCTTAATGAGTCCAGGATTCAATTCACCTAAATTTATAAAAAGAATATTAAATTTAGGACAATAAGTCATTAAGAATGGAAATTAACAGGGCCAACTAAACAATCCAATATGGGGTCATAGTGCCACACACTAATTGTGCTAATTTATATTAATATTCAACCATTTAATTAGCTTGCTGGAGCTTTAAAATGCTTACTCACGAATTACTTGATCAGCGTCCTGTAACATGTACCTAATTTTCTGTTTTTTTTCTTCTTTTAATAACATAATCTTCTTTTTCTGATAATAATAATCTATAAAATTAATAAAAGAAATATTTTGATTTGATGTCCATATTCTTTTAAACTTTTTTTATCTTTTAACTAATTTGTCAATTATTCTATTTTTAAAAATTAACTGAATAATATTTTTTTAATAGGAGAGACACATAGTGTCTTTTTTCGCAAATAATAATAGTAATAGTAATTACAATAATATATAAAGTTACCCAAACAAGAAGTCAAACAAAGCATTTGTGACTGCAAAATGGCTTCATCCTCAAATCAGTCTTCAGTGATATACCGATTTGCTAAACCTTGTGAGTTTTCACATGGGGTGGTGGGAATTTCATATGGTTTTCAATGGTTTTGACCAATATTCAAACCCATTGCTTCTAGGTAATAAGGTAGGTCTTACTCTTAGTTCTTTATCAATCAATAACATTTCTTTTTAATTTTCTATTAGTATGTCAGTCAACTATAAATATTGCATGTATATATTAAACTATTGGTATGTAGGTTCTAGTATATCCATATTCCAAAGAAACTAGCAGTGTAGCTACCAACTTTTTAACGGTAAACAAAGTAACGGTAATGTACACTGAAATGGTAATTTATTGATCAAAAAATTGCTAATTTGCTGTTAACGTTATAACTAACAATGTTTTTTCAAAAATAAAATAAAATAAAATGAATAATACAATCCTATTGGTTATTACGTATCATGTAATGAATCGGCTAGGAAAAGAAAGAAAAAGAAATTATTTTTTCTTTGATTTTGATCCTATTGGATCTCAAAATAGAATAAGGGGCAATTAACAAAAATTTAAAAGGAGTATTTCTTATCTTGAAACTTCTTTTTGTTTAGAGGAAGATTAACATATAAGAAAATGATGCGGAAAGAACAAATTATATTGTGGAATAAAACTCATGCACTCATAATTAACATTTCAGTGTTTTTTTAATTTGTTAATATCTTAGACTCAGAGTTTAAGTGTTTAACTAACTGATTGAGAGGATCATCGTGTATATTTTGAAAATCTAAAAGACATTTAATAATTTTAAATAATTAATAAAATAATAAATATAATTTTATTTATTAACATGCATCACATTTTTAGTTAAGAAAAAACTAATAAGTGTCCTTTAATTACTAGCTTCTTTTTCGTTTCATGTTATTTGTCACTTTAAAACTCAAATCATAATGTATCACTTCAAATTATGGACCTTGTTTACCCTTCCACTTTGCCTCGAGCCCACAAATATATATTACTTGACCGAAGCAAGAGATTTATTTAGTGTGTGCTACTAATAAGATTTGCAATGAACCTAAAGAAACCAAAGTGCGTTAGATTTGAAGTTGATAAGTTGAAGGTATGGACATTAATAATTTCTGAACGTATTAAACAAAAAGTTGCAATGACTTTGGGGGTTTCAATTAAACTCAAAGATTAATAAGGATAAAAGGTGTAGGAGTTTTGGGGGTGTAACATACTAAATAGTAAATACCGATGAATATTTTGACTGATAGGGAAGGATTAACTATTTTAAGTAAAAGTGACTACACAAAATGTCCATTGAGCATAGAACAATCCTCTTATAAGTTACTATTAAGTTCCTTCAATTAAGAAAAATTACCCTGAGAGGATGGACCCCCTTGTCACTGTTATATTAGAATGGCTTGTCCACAGGCAATTCAATTTCTTAATCTACTCACACTTCAAGAAAAATATCTCATTTTTAACTTTTTTTAATATAATTTTAAATACTTTAAATGAATTATATACGTATTTTAATTTTAAATATTATTATTTTAATATGTACTTTTATATACTTAAATTAACTATTCATATTCTTTGGAGTTCAATTATTTTTGTTTTAATTTATATTTTTGATATTTTATTTAAATTTTAAAAAATTATAATGCGCAGAATATTTATTCATCATAAATTAAAAATGGAATTTTAAAGAGGAATTATAAAAAAAACTTTAAAAATTATTTTATTTAGAGTATAGGTACATAGACAAGTTTAGGAAGTTTTGCTTGTTTTATATCCACATGTATTATACAAATTTAAACCTTCACTCTTCAAATTAAAATAATCTTTAAATATATTCTCATTCTCAATCACATCTCTTTGATTTTTATTTGAGCATACTGCTTGTCACACACACACACACACACACATATATATATATATATA